GCGAGCAATCGCCAACGCCAGCGGCAGTCTCGTCAAGTCAGGTAAGGATACAGACATCAAAATAGTTCCCTGCCGGCCATTACCCTGCACAGTTGCATGTCTTTTCTTTTTAAGTCGCGTCTTCCAAAGCGTCCTCGTCCTGCTCAAACTGCTTCTTGCTGTCATCCAACGGCCAGGTGATTTCTCTACAGCCGACTTGCTCCTCCCAACCGACATCGTCTAACGTCACGCTGTTACCACTGAACTTTCCGACGGGAGCCGCCGGTGCTACCGTCACCACGGTCCAGTCATCCACCACGTCGTGCCCCATCAGCGTGAGGTCGCACAGCTCCGTGCTGCCGCCCCTGGCGCCATTGCAGCAAATCATTATACCACAAACTACCACAACTATTGCTCCAAGCTCGTCGACCGTGTCGCCGCGTACCCTTATAATAGGTATGTACCAGCTCTGTGTCCTCTTTTATTCACCTTCACGATACGGTTACAGTGTAACTTTTTATGCTCGGATATGTGAAAATTCAGGTAATCTGGAAGGACAAGATTAAATACCTTCGCTCAGTCAGTTTCGATTACCGCTCATCCTTTCGGGTAACGGAGGTTGACACGTCGGACAGTGTTTTCAACGTTCCCGGCCCTACTTCGGCATCTGAACTTCGACAGAAGACAGCTGGAGTCTAGAGCAGACTCTTTCCTTACACTTACTCAAGGTTATTTTGGACTGGCCCCGTTGTCTTCAGCCGGTCGTTGAGCACATAGTAGATGTTTCGCCTTTTTTCTGGAGGCATTCAAAACACATTCCCAAACTATCACAGCTGTAACTTCTCAATCTGAAGAGGCAGTTGCTCTACATTAAGGTTCTCTCGGATTTCTGTACTACGGACGTTGTCCAGACGCGTAAGGCCAGCGACTTATCACAAAAAGCCCATTTCAGCCGCTTGTACTCGGGATAGAAATTTTTCACTCATAGTCCACGACTCATCACTGTAGATATGCATGGAGATGAAAATTAACTTGAACACCGAGAGCTTAATCTTCGGACTCGTCTTTGCTTTAGTCAGAACGCCGCTAACCATCGAAGTTCATCGATCGATCTATTCAGTTTTCCATCACCATTGAACACTACTTCGAGGTACGTGAACTTCTCCATCTGTTCTACTGCTTTGCCGTTTATCTAGATAGCGCATCTGGCAGAAGAACGAGAGCACTAGGCTTTTCCTTTCAGATACGTTCACACATATGCCGGCCACGTCGCCCTCGGCTGCGAGCTTTTCCAGAGAGCGCTGTGTGTCAGTTTCAAAAGATGTCAATAAAACAGTCATCTGCTAATACCAGATTTCTCGTCTTCGTGTCTCCTGTGTTGATACATTCATCGCTTAGACTGCCTGTCTGTCCTCCAGGAAAGGAGTTGCCGCGATCCTTAGGCATATATAATGATAGTTGACTTCAGTATACTACTAGCAATGTACTAATTTTTGGTACCGCCGTCGAGCAGTATTTTGTCGCTTCTCCAGATTCGCACGGCGTCAACGCATCGTTCTCCAACTCTAGTAGCCTAGGGGACTGTTTCTCAACCAAAGCTCCGTTATATTTTGGCACTTTCTGGAGTATATCTGTTATACCTAGTAGTGTGCGTTTCCTCTAAAGGTAACTGGTCACATTTTATGCACGGTGCAACAAACCAGAACGTTGCTACTGGGGTCCATGAAGAATGTTCATGTGTTAGTGTGCCGGTAATTACACAACTTTTTAGCTTTCTGGGCCATACTAAGCCAAGATCGTTCTGCCAGATTCATGTTTGCATTGTTTTTACGAATTCAGTCGCATTTTGAACGGATTTATCGAACATATCGGATTTGAACGGATTTGAACGAACGTATCTTGTGTAAAAGCGGACATGAGTTTAATCTTTCCTGTTCATTCTTTAGCAGGTTGCTTCATACGAATCAAGTTCTATAGGTGGTTCTATGGTTGTAAGATATTTCGTGTAGATTGTTTTGAACGTTCAGTTTACAATCCCTGATTACTACTGTCTCTTTGATCGACCTTTTCAAAATTTTTGACGCTGTGTGTGTGTGTGCGTGTGTGTGTGTGTGTGTGTGTGTGTGCG